AAAGCTCTACAATTCACACATAGTTTATTTTAAAAAAAATGAGGAATTTCTCATTCGCGTAGAAGATGATCTTTTCGCACCGTCAAAAATTGGTCACATCGAATTTTGCTTTTTTTTATTAAAAAAAGGACACAATTAAAATAAGCTTTACTTTGCAGATTGTAGAGCTTTTCACGCTGCATCTTGTGGTATATTTTGTTTTTTTGATGATACTTGTTTGAAGATGAAAATATGGAATGCAAAAGTGGGACATTCATTATGCGCCACCCGTTATATTGCATTTTTTTTAGGGGATTAAGTCTAAGAGTAGTGAAGAAATAGGGTCTAAAATAGATAGAATAAAAATAATATCCCTATGATTAGTAACAGCTACTACATTGTGTTTCACATGTTCATCCCATCAGGATTGCGCTAACAGCTTTTCATTAATAGTCAGCTGGAATTGTCAACATTTTTCCATTTGTCTATGCTAACAGAACTTATTTAAAAATAAATTAAGCAAAGTCAAATAAAAAGTGTGTCTGTTCTATTTTACCGACTCTAGCTCATACATATTTTTTTTTATTTCGAAAAATAAAGAAAAATCTATTCGTACTTGATTTTCCTTTAGATGCTAATTCTTTTTCTTGCTGTTCATCAATTTGTCTTAAACCATATGTATAAAATTGAATAGCACCAAGATTATCATCAGCTTGATAACATGTATTACCCCATTGACGTAATTGATCAACATTGATTCGATTATTTGTTGAACAACGTGTTTCAAAATCAATCATTAATAAATGTGTATTTGGTGATTCACAACGTAATCCTATTTCACCATCATGACACATTTTTAACCATGGATCTAATATAACAATACATGAGTTTATTGGTAAAAGACGTATTAAACATTCTTGAATATAATTATAAGATTTTATTTGTCTTGTATTCATAACATATGACCAATTATAAATAGATAAACGAAGACAATGTGAATTTTCATCTTGTACAACAACATGTACAGCATAACGAGTCCATATAGGTATAGACATTATTTTTACTGGTAAACGACTATTTAAATGAACATGATTAACACGAAGAAGATTTATTTTTAATTGTGTTGATGCTTCCATACGATCCATCTAATAATAAATAAAGATTTTTTTGTATTTTGTTAAAGAAGGTGTGTCAAATTACGGATTAAACTTCTCAAAGAATCTGAACCTAATTTTATTAGTTTAAGAATCAACATTGAACCCTGATTAGATTTTTTAACCATCGTTCTATTACAAGTCTTCATAGTTTAATAGCACTAGATGTGCTCATTGCAAATACCATTTGTTTTCAAAAGTACTCAAATAATAAAAAACATTTGCAGTGCTCTCTGATAGTCTTAATAGATTTTGATCTAAGAGTCTATTAAAATTTGATTTCGCTTCTTCATAAATAGATTCATTTGTTGTAGGATTCCTCTCCTGATCAAAATCTATAAAAAAACTTCTTAGATATTCAAATCTTTTTCTATTGATAAATGCCAAACAATACTCTAATTAGGTCATATTGTTAATAATCATGATTTTTTTTTCATTCTCATAAAGTTCTAGTTTCTACGCATGCACCAGCGAGATTGTTTCATTGAATATGTGATTCAGAGCCAATTTGTGTCTTTTGATTAATATTCGACGGTTTTCAAAAAGAAAATGTTTCGTTTGACTTTAAACAAGTATCATATTTGGAAGCAAAACAAAAAAACTAAGTCGACCAATATGCGTTTCAAATCATTTCTGCAACTTCTTTTTCGGTCAAATTTTCATCCCTGAGTAGCTTCTTTGAGATATATGAAAAAATGAATTTCATGAAAAGCACTATTTTGACCAAAAGGAAGTCGCACAAACAGTTTGAGATATACAAAAGTCAACTTACGAGGGAACTGCTCGAGGTGATTCACTGCTTTTGACCTGATGTTTTGCCAATAAGTAGAACCAGGTGAGACTAGGAAGCACCCAAAAGGATGCGGGCCAATGGGCCTTCCTTGCAGAACTATAGTCGTATTATTGAGTTTCGCTTCATGCAAGGTACGTACCAAAAAACAGTTCAATGCCGAAGTTTCGACCTGATATTCTATCCATGTATAGCTCTCAAGGTCTATAGAATATCCTCAATGTTTCAACGGAAAAGGATGTTCCTTTCCAGAAACAATGAATCTACAAAAAACACTCTTATTTCACAGAGTAGTCAGAAAAACCAAGTTTTCTTGTATTTTCATTATCTCTGGAATAGAGCATCCGTTTGCACTGAAACTTTTAGAATATTTTTAAAGACCTTGAGAGCTATACATGGATAGCATATCAGGTCGAAACTTCGTCATCGATTTGTTTTTGGTACGTACCTTGCATGAGACAAAACTCAGTAATACGACTATAGGTCTGCAAGGAAGGTCCATGGGCCCGTATTCTTTTGGGTGCTTCCTAGTCTCATCCGGATCTATTTATTGGCAAAACATCAGGTCAAAAGCAGTGAATCATTTTGGGCGGTTCCCTCGTTAGTTCTTTGTTTGGACTACAGATGTGACATTTTTTGAAGTCGAATAGAATTTTTTCCTTCTAGAAAAACCATCGAATATTAGTCAAAAGAAATATAAATTAATTTAGAATTACATATTCGATAAAAAATCATGATTAGTAATAACATAATTCAATTAGGGTGACATTGATCAATAGACAAAGATTTAAGTATCGAAGAAGTTTTTCATATATTTTGATAGAGAAAGAAGTTATACAACAAATGGTTGTTAAGGCTTTCAAAGAGTATTTGAGATGTGTCTTATTATCTAAAAACTTTTGAAAAATAGTTGATGTTTGTAATTAGTACATTGAGCGCTATTGAACTATAAAGACTTATAACGGAATGATGATAAAAAGTTTTTTCGATATCTCAGAAGAAACTCAGGTGTGAAACAAGTTAGGGTTTAGTGGTAATTCTCTAGCTAAAAAAATCAGATTCAAATTCTTTCGGATGGTTGATTCGTAATTTCATACATCTCCTTTATGTGGCTTTTTTTCTTACTTGATCACAAAATGGATCAGCAATTAATGAAATCATTCGATATTTCATTTGTGATTGAAGATTATTTTTTGTAAAACAATATGGTAAATCATCTATTTTATCAAATGTTTTTAATATTTGATTAGCAAATGTTTCATGTTTTTCAAGTACAATTGATTTAGCAATGGGTGTCGAATAGATTTCACCTTTTTGTTCATTTAACTTATTATTATTCATAATAAATAATTCCGAAAGAATATTCGAATAACATAATTTACGAGAATATTTTCTCGACTTTAATTTACGAGATGGATGAGATGATGATGATGATGATGATTGAGAATTCGATTGTGAAAAAACTTGAAGTTTTTCAGTTGAAGAATCATTCCGAGAAGATGTACAATTACCTTAGAGAAATGAATGACATAGAAATTTTAAAATAAAATTACATGTATATTCACATTTTGTTGATTCAAGTGCTTCTGAAAGTTCAACAACAGTTTCTGTTGATGTAGTAATCATTGATTTTTTTAATTTTGCTTTTGACTTGGGCATTATTATAAAATTTTTAAATAAGAGATACAAAAAAAAAAATTAAAACTTAATTTTTTAATCTAGAAATTAAAGAAAAAAGAAATAAAATTTTAAAAACTACACTAAAAAAGATCGGCCAATGGATTATTAACACCTTTTATTGAATACGTTCTCAAGCGACATCATACGATCGTTAATCTTAATTTTATATACTTGAATAACTATTAGGAAAAATTCTTTTTCTTTTAAAAGCGCGTTTTCGTCATCTAGTTAATTCAATTCATTTTATAGAAGAATCTTTCTTTATTTCTTTATGTGGTATTCTCAATTATCATGTTCAGATATTTTTGTTTGTACAGCTATTTTATGTTTAAATTCGAATTTTTTACAATATTCATTTTTTAATATAACAAAATGTACACCATCATCACTTAATTTAAATTCAAATCTACATTTAATACCTCGATATAATAATAATCATTCATATATTAAACAGAAATATTTTCCTAATGGTTTTATTTGTTCATATTGTACACAAAAAAATTTTATAGAATATAATTCAAATAAATTTTATAAATGTTCAAAACAATTGACAAAGATTGAATTAAGATATTATTGTCAATATTCATTTCTATATAGAAAAAAAGAAAATACTTGTCAATGTTTATCAACAAATAAAACTATTCAACCAATTAATAATTGGGTCAAAGCTATAATTAAACTTGGTAAAAGTCATATGAATCCAATTCGAGTTAATAATATAAATCAATCATCTTCAACTTTTGTATATTATCTAATTGGTTTTATTATTTTACTTATTTTTTTGGGCGGTATTATTTCAATAATATGTTATTGTATTAAATTAAAATTTTTTCAACTATGAATATTCAAAAAAAAAGTCGAGGAACATTTAATGTATGCAAAACAACAAATAAATGCAATAACAAAAATAATGTTAGCTCCCTTTTTTTTTTTTCATATTCTATATAGAACAAATATATAAAGTAAAAAACAAACACTTGAAAATTTCAAACATTTTTTCTTTCTCAATAAATAATCAACAGGCAATAAATTTCTTTTTGACACATCATGTCTTGATCATTAATGATATTATTTTTTGTTCGATGCATGTTTTTTGTACATATATCTAATAAAATTTACATTCAAATTCAAAAGTAAAAATGACATCGCCTCGATTGTTTTTATTTCATTATTTTACATATGAAATAATATTCAAATACAAAAAGAAATTCATTAGTTTGATTTGAATGATTGATTTTAAAAATAGCTTGAGAAAAATTTCATAAGACGTCAAAAATAACGAATTTGATAACCAATAAGTTTTACCATAGAAAAGACTATGAATAATTTTTTTCTATATATTCACATATAGTTTCTAAAAGAAACACATGTATTCTTTAGATTTTTTCTAGTTACATATGGCATCTGCAGCAGCACGTTATCCATTAAAACCAAAAACTTTAACATTACTTGAATTATGTCAATCATATCATGATTTTCGTCATCCACCACCATCATCATCATCATATCATTCTCAATCATCATCAAATTCTTCACATGTTCTTACTCGTCGTATTTATCTTCATCCATTAACATTAAATTCACATTCAAAACATCAATCATTAAAAAGTTCTTCTACTAATTCTCTTACAACATTTGATCATGAACAGCGTTTTCATCCAATAAATTCTGATAAAAATCGTGAAATACATCATGTTAAAAATCAATCATCATTTCATGGTCTTGCTGTTCTTTCATCATCAGCTCCAATAGCAACACGTATCAATACTAAATCTGATACTCGACATATTCGTGATAAACAATTTATAAATATTGATGATGATACAAATAGTGATTATGATGTTAGTACACTTACTCTTACTTCAAGTCAATCTAATTTTCAATCACATACTCGTGGTACATCATCTAGTACACATAAAATATGTACACGTCCATCATGTGTAATGAATAATCATAAAGCTTATTTAAAATCAAATCGTTGGAATAAAGTTGATGTATGGTATCATTTAGATCGAACATTACAACGACCAATGCCAAATGATCCACCAACAACACCACTTAATATTGTTGTAGATTCTAATAAAGAAAATGATGAAACACAACAACAATATTCAAATTATAATTCTATTCAAGAAATTAAAATCTATAAACGAAATCCAATACAAAAATCAATTATAGATCAAAATGATGATAATGATAATAATGATGACTATTATATTTATCATGACAATTAATCTAATAGAATTATTAATTTGAATTTAACATAAGAAATACTAAAATTTTATAAAGATAGTTGTTTGTAAATTAACAAAAAACAAAAAAAAACTTTTTTTTTAATTTTGTTCTTTTTTTTTTCATTTTTGTATATATCCCGCTCATTGTAAACGAGATTTTATACAAAAATTGCTAGGGATACATAATAAATAGTTATCTATTTTCTTTTTTATTAATGTTATTAAACAATGTTTGATAAAACTATTAATGATATATATGAAAATCAAAATGAATTAGAAGAGCATTTACATTCGAATTTAAATCAAATAAAACAATCACATCCTATCGAACAGTCAGTATCTACTAGATATACGAATACTAATTCAAATATAAAACGTACTCTTTTACTAAGCAAACAATTAACATCATATGCAACAAAACCTCAATCAAAAGTAACTATTTTGGGTACAGATCGAACTACATTTATATGTGCATTGACTATGGCTCTAAAGCGATATGTCAGTGAAATTGTTGTATTCGATCAATGTTATAATCGACAGATGAAAACATGCTTTCAAGATGTATGTAAATAATACGAATTGATTTTTTTGATATAAAATTTTATTTTCTATTCTATATGAAAGCTTGCTTGTGCTTTACAACTTTGTCCTATTTCTCGTTCAGTCAAACTTATATATACATCTGATATTGCATATACATATAGATCAGATGTTATTCTTATCACAGAAATGCACAATAATAATATAAATATGGATCAACATGAGAAAACATTTTCATTAAAACAAAAAGCTCAACAATTAATTAATAATCTTCATGGTAATCCATCCATTATTCAACGTCTTCTCATGGCTAGTCCAAATGCTGTATTTTTGATAGTTAGGTCTTGTATTCATTCGTACCTTCGAATTTGGCTAATTTCATTATCTTATTTTTAGGCGTTTCGCCATATGATTACAATTCATTAGTTGTTAAATCGTTAGCTGGTAATCATTGTCATGCTCGACAAGTATGTGGATTGAGTTCAGATATTTACAGTCATCGACTACGTTATGCTATAAGCGAATTACTCGATATATCAAGTAAAAATATAACTGGTTTTACATTGGAAAATCTTGGTAAATCGATAGAACCATATTGGCCTAGTATTACTATAATTGGTCAAAGTCTAAAATTAACTGAAAATGATAATAGAGCAATAGAAGAAAATTTTATTAATCAACCGATGAGTAATAATGCACCACAAAATAAATATCAATCAATAAAATTAAATACAATTCAAAATGATGCAACAATGAAAAAATCTAAGTATTTAATATTATTTGTTTTTCCGTGGATTCAAATTCGAAAATATGAGTTTTTCGCAAACCTGAAACTTTTAGAAAATACATATGTTAAAAATTCGATAGCTTAATCAAATCTTAAAAGAAACTAAAATCCTTTTAGAGTTTTTATTAGAACACTATTCAAAAAAAAAAGAGGATTGAAATCAGAAAGGAACAGCTGAAGTTTTCTCATTAGCGAATGATTAGGTATCTTTTATATAGATATTCAACCAAGACATTGCCAAGTTCAAATATACAAAAGTTTCTAAAACAAACTAATAGTCAAAAAAAGACCACTTCTTATCATTCAAAAAAACATGAGCCTATTTTATACATGAATGAAAAAACATCCGTTCGAATTCAACAATGGGTTCGTTCAAGTACATTTCTTCAATCAATAAAAACCAATCATAAAATTATTAAACAAGTAAAACATTATCAACAAATTGAATCAAGCATTTCGAACAATTCTTCAAATATTATTGAATCACAACAAAATCGCTTTCAACCTATTCAAGATCAAATTATTAAACATTTGAATGGATGGCATTGTCTACAAATATTATATCATCGTTCATGTTACTATACTTTAGGCATGAATTTATGCCAAGTCATTCGTTCTTTTATGAGTAATTCACAAGAAATGCTTATTTTATCAATTTATATCGAACCATTTCTCAAACAACAATTCACAAATAAAGTAATAAATTAGAAATAAACATAACGAAAATTAAAAAAAAATCGATTGCAGCAAAAGAAAATATTTTTTTCAAGAGGCAATAAGTGTTTTAAAAACAATGTTTTTAATCATAGTTTTCAGTTTTTGTCAATCGCAACCCACAATAGAAGACCTGGGTCTTCTATTATGAATAGGAGTTCAGACAAACACAACTTCTCAATAGGAAATAAAACGTAAATACTTTAGTGCGAGTCGTATAAGGACGATCTCAAGCAAAATCAAACATATCCATCTTTTCTATAACTTTTGAATAAGTTCTTTTAGGATAGACACGTGTAAAAATATTGGCTCTTTCAATTGATTGTTAGTTAAAAAGTAATTAGCAAATATTTCTTTAATCATATGCAGAAAAAAATCCAAAAGTTCGAGGATAGATTCTACGCCACAAATTGCATCCATCAACAAAATTTTTTGTCATACCATCATCTAGAGATTTTGAAGAAGCATTTGTATCGTTTGTCATTGATTTTGAACTTTTCATTCGGTAATAAGAGCATTATTTTGAAAAATCTCTTTGAATAGACATTCTGTAGTCTCTCGAATTATCGACATTTAGTTTTTAAAAATGTTACCTCAACTTGAAGTTTTTTAAAACTACAATGTATTAAGAGAAAGTCGATGTTCTTTTTTATGCCAAGTCGCTAAAGCTAGTTTTTTTTTTACTGACAACTGCTCTAAATAATAAAACTGATTCATTTCCTATATCTAGAGTAACTTAACATATAAAAGTTAACTCTAGGAAAGTTCATTATTTCAAGATGAACGTGTTTTAATTTTAAAAACTCACCTCGTTAACGAATGATTTGATTCATAGATAGAAAAAAAAAATTCCAATTGTTATTTTATTTCTTATTTGAATTCTTTCTATTTAAAATTCGTATGAAATCGAATGTAATCAATCATATTTAAATTGATCCAAAAAATTGCAATAAAATAATTATTTTATCAAAACAATCAGTTCTCATCAAATATCAATATATTCTTTGATTATTTCTTCTTACTTGATATAGATTGAATTGGAAAATACTAATCTTTTTGCAAGTATACCTACTCTCATACGTCGTTATGGTATTCATGCTATACTCAATTTTAAATCACAAGTAGAATTGTACAATCATGTTCAAAGAACTCTTGAAGAAAATCGAATATTTCGTGATATAATGAATTATCCATTACAAAAAACACTTCTAGTCTACGATATTATCAAAAAAAAAGAAAAAAACTAATTAACTGATATAAAATCAATTAATAAAATATATCCTATTGTTTTGTTTTTTTTCCTAGTAAAACAAATAAAGGTTTAACAATGAAAATGAATTTCGGAAAGAGAAAGAGAAAAAAAAATGATAAGAATCAAAAAAGACAAAGAAAACACGGCACATACACAACAGAAAAACAATTATGATGAAAATAAATCATTTGATGTAACAACAACGATAACTAGTTGAATAAAATGATCGTCTTGTTATTTGTGAACAACAATCATGAAACAGAGCTTGGTTAGAAACATCATTGTTGTAATTTAGAAGAATAATTCCTACGATATGAAGAAAAAAAAACACATTTTAATCGTTTATATCAAATCAATACAATTTAATTTAATGAAAATTTCTTTTAACTGACTTACTTGAAAAGACACTGTTAGAGAGGATGACCATCCATCGTGTGAAAAGTGGTATCGTTTTGTAGAGTAACTACTGGTGTATTGAATGATGTATAGGATGTTGTACTTTCATCAAACTCTCATGACTGATCGGCTATATGCTAGTCAATGGACATTATAGCAATTGTGGATACTACATATCGGAAATCTTAGTATTTTTCTTAGTTTCTGTAATTTTTAGTGTTTATGAAGCTTTGAATTCTTCGATACTCCTTCTTAGGTTATAAGCGACTAATCGTACAACTTTTTCATGAATTATATGACCAAGCTCTATCGGTGTACGGATTTTGTTGTTCTTTGAGTTGAAGTGTGGCATAGTAAAATTGACTAATGAAAGGTTAATAATTCCGTTCTTGTATGGATAGAAAAATATGTTCGTTCTGCGATAAATATTCTTCTTATGAAAAAGTTCCTATCTATTTATAATAAGTTCATCATATCCTGTGATTTAATATGTATAGGTCTTTCGAATAATAGTAAAAACCTGTTCGCTTTCAGGTTCCTGAAGAGCTGCACGAGAACTGGCAATTTTTTTATTTTCATAAGAGATCGAACATATATTGAATTTAATATGACTTCATATTCTAATCACATATAGCTACGCAAACTCTGAATTCGTAACGAATAAACTAAAATAACAACTAATCTTTGTTATAGTTCATTTCCGCACCTGTTTAAGGACTGAAGCACATTTTTTTTTTGATATTTTCAAAAGATCTACATAGGTCAAATGATCGGGCATGATGAAATCGTCAATAATAAATAGAAACATTTTCATTGCATACCTGATATACTTTTCTGTCCATAGGAATTGAATAATTGACTATTCATTAGCCAACTTAAGTATAACGCACTTCAATACGGAGGACAACCAATTCATGTACTTACAAAGCTTGTCAGAAAAGCCAAAAATAATAGAAGCTAAGAAAAATATTAAAGTTTTCACTACAAAAAAAGCTATTGTCAGTATGAATAGATATACACAATTGCATTATCTATAAACAAAACTTTATATTCGGTCATATTACTCACCGTTATTATAAAGATCCTTTAACTCTTACATGGCTTCTTAGAAAGTAACAACGCAACATTTTACAAACCATTCGATACACCAATAGTTATTCTACAAAACGATAAAAATGAATTTTCTAATGAAGAATGGTCATCATATCCGACATGAGCCTCGAATATCTTCTCAATGCATGTAACTCTTGCTTTAAATAAACAATATTAAATATACAAAGCATTTGTTATGATTTCGTCCTTTCGAGTTTT